AGTCTGTGCTAGCTAGCAAGGGGATCCTCATGGAAGAAGTCACTCTGTAGCTGCCCCAAGCAGAAGCACAACGAGCCCTAACAGTCTAGCAACTAAATGGCAGCTCACACGCACTAGCTGACAACAGACTACGTGCATGTGCATGGGCTTGCCAGGGAGATACCCATAAAGGCAGAGTCATCGGCAGGGATCCTGGTTTTGTCCCATTTAAAAAAAAAACCAAAATTGTCTGCTCTAACCCTCCCCCCACCAAATCCACATTTTCCTGTTATTAAACAAAACACTGTATCAATTCAAATAATATATAGAGGTGTTTTGTTTTAATCAGAGAAAACTGTGGGTTTGGGGGTGGGGTAAAGCAGAGGATGTTGGATTTTTTTTTTTAAATCAGAAAAAGGCAGGATTCCTAGTTCATGTACATCTTCACTATGCCACGAGCTAGGCTGTTAGTTCAAACACCCCTAATGCTGTGCACAACCCCCTGTCAACTTGGATTCAGGGGCTCAGGCTTTGAGAAAGGCTGGGACCTGCCCGCTTTGTGACTTTTTGCCAGCATGCTCACTGCAGGGTGCTGCTGGTTCACAAAGACCCCACCCAAAACTTCCCCTTAGGAAAATACAAAATGCATTACAACTGATTGAGATGAACCCTCCAGCATCTCAGCCTGCACCACAGGTGGGCCCTGGCACCCCAAAACATGTGCAAGTGTCGAGAACACAGCAGCGTGGGTACGGTACTGGTTTGGGAGTGCTCACACCTGGGCACCACTGACCTGGGTTCATTGCATGCTGAAGACGGACACCAGATATGCACAGAGGTTATCACCTGGTTATCTCTGCCACTCCAGCATGGGGGACGAACGCTGCCCAGAGTCGGACCCCCGTGGTACAGGACGTGTTTCAGTCCTTGTAAAAACTGCATGTTCGGAGGTAGGCAGAGAAGTCCTTGCAGTCACATACCATCTATTTTAGTCCATGGTGTATTCCTGGGTATAATAAAAAGGCCACTGACAACTTTAAGCTATATTTTATGAAGGGGTTTTACTGTTTCCCCGTGGCGGTTTATTAAGGTCTTTCCCAGCAAAGGAGAGAAAAGGCGACTCAGGAATATGACATACTACCAAACTGCTACAGGACGATGAGCCAGGAAGTTTAAAAGGGCCATGACAAGTTTAAGCTGATTTAAAAATGCCATTGAGCAAAAAAGCAGTGGATCAGGAGACAGAATACTCTTTGGCTAACTTCTTTCAGCTCTCATGCCCTTTGCTGGTATTTTTAAACTCTGCAGAGAAGCACAGTTTCCAAGGTGGTGATATCAGAGCAGTGTCAGTACCACAGTGCTGGAGAGCTGATGTTTGATAATCCAGAAGATGCTGTATTTCAGCAGGGCCTCTGCAGGTCTCCATCCCCGCAAGGGGAAGAGGGAGGTGGGGGTTTACACTTCTTAAGCGGAGCAGCTCCCTTACTGATTTTGCTTGAAAGCTACTGCAAGAAAATACTGAAAGAAATCCAAGAAAAGTCTGATGATCACAGCTAGGTAGAAGCTGTTCTGAATTACTGTGCTATTAACTGCTTTGTTCATGTGTTTAAAAAGGAGCTGAATTGAGTCAAACCCTGTCAAGCGATTCCCCGTCCATCAATGCTTATTTCTCCAATATCACTTGTAAGATGATCGTCACATTTCTGCATCATTTAGAGCATGGGCACAAGCCATTTTCCGTCCCTTTTTACTCTCCACGGCAGATCTGGCCTGCTGGTCCACTTCTCAAAACGAGCTACGCTGCTGCAAACACACACGGGAGCAAGACGCTGGTTTGGCCTTGTACGACCTCTCGTCACAAACTTTTTACCACCACAGACTCTCTTCTGTTGAGCTCGTTCTGTGATGCCAGAAGGAAACCAGATACTATTTTTAACTTCCTTTTTTTTTTTCCCCCTAGATCTTGAGATTAGAAGTCAGAAACACTTCCAAAATTTTTCTTTTGTTTTCCTTTCTTTAAACCCAAAGGTGTCTTCAGGTTCAGATTTCAATTTTTTTTTTTTAAAGTTGATTCATAAGGAATGAATGGATAATCAGTGTGAGATCAGGTAAAGCTTCAGTGATCAACTGATAACTTTCCCAATGGGGGAAAAAAGTCAGTGTTCATCAACACAAGTTTTAAAATATTAAATTGAGATTAACCCAAGCAAGGAGGTTTTTTTAGATCAGAAATCACTCAGAAATCGTTCTATTTAGTCTTCAAAACAAATCAACTGTTTCAAAGATGCGGGTCTTACATCAACTGTGTTCTGGGCTCATAAATATCGGAAGTCTGGAAACGCAAGTCTCAAACCAAGAGGCCCAGCCTGATACTTTAAGGTCTCAATGCCACCTACAAAAATGACATTTGGATTTTGACATAGCCAAGGGATGAAATCTGTCCTATGGCCCCATGCAACTCATCATCTATTGCCTCTGCCAAGATGTAAAGGATCCATATACCTAAGCAGGCTGCTCACGACCATCTGAGCGCCCAAACACTTGATCACATATTGAAAGCAAAGAGCTATCATCAGTCTGGAGCAGAGACAGGAAGCCTGGGGATGTAGTTACCTTCCACAGAATCATTTACATTCCTCTTCCGCAGGCAGGGCACCCCATTGTTTTATCCCTCCCCTTCTGAGCCATGATCATAACAGATACAAGTGACATTTCACAATTCTATCTCCAACTGGAAACCAAAGGCCTGATCCAAAGCCAGGCGAAGAACAGATTTCATTAAGTTTCAGATCCAGATACTACAGACTGCAACCTCCTTACACAGGTAAACTTTCTTCCATACCCACAAAGAAGTCACGATTATTAGATTCAGAAGCAGAGCTATTACACAGCATGCACGGGGTGGAGCACATCTCAATTTTTTTTTTTAAATGGTAATATTTTCTATGGAGGCTCTTTGAAAAATCAACCGTGAATGCTCCTGTTCAAAGTCTGGCTTATACTAGTCTCACAGTGCAAAAGGCGAGTGAACACCCATGGACAAGAACCGGAAGCTGTACTTGTGAGGTCACAGCTGGCTCAGGACAGGTGAAGCACCCCAAAACTTGATGCTTTCAAAAAGACTTTGCTAGAATGCTAAGACTCTCCCTTTAAGTCTAGCTTGCCCAAGTGCATGCAAGAAATCCGCTGCAAAGCTGGGAACTGAACCCACATATTATCTTCTCTTCCACGGAGAAAGCATTTCAAGTAGTTACACTAGTTAGCAAGCTGGGATAACGTTAGAAGGCATAACTGCTTTCAAAAAAGGGCATCTTTTTTTTTAATCATCTGGATCCTTTTCCTCATTCTCTGAGAAACAAGCAAAATTCTTTTGCATGGGAGTTATCCATTTACTCCCTCTTCCTACATCAATATTGTACTCATATCTGATAAAAGTTGTCTTCATCACCAATCATACTGAAAGATCACCTTGAGCAACCTTGGGAGATGCCCTGGTTCCAGGTGAGTTTACAGAGGAAAGAATATGGTCCAAGGAATTGGTACTAAGTCCAAGTTGTTGCAAGAAATGTTCTGGATGTACCAAAGTGATATAATGTATCACCGGACAAGATAAAAACAAGCAGTAAAACTACTTATTCAAAAAGCAGAAGCAGAGCATAGGAATAGGTGGATAACTCAAACTCATCACAGTTCTACAGTGAGGGTAGATTAATTTTATTCCCCTCTACAGTTTTCTTTCTTGCTTTTTAAATACATACAAATTTGCATACTCAACAGGAACTTCTAGTTTCTGTTCTGACTAGTGAAGCAGTAGTAAATCTAAACTGCTACAAACCATCTTTTATTCAAGGATCTCGACACTTTATACTCTTAAGACATTCAACAACTCTGGGAAAATTTAGCCCATTTTGCAAATGGACAAATCATTTCTGCTTTGGTGTATTAGTTCCCTGATATTACTGGCAGAGCCAGGAATAACAGTTTTACACTTACGGAGTCCTGACTTACTTTACTATGCACCGAACACCACACCACACTGCATCCCAAAGTATGTCTGCTCCAGGTCTTTTCTTTGACAAGAAAAAAAGTGAATTTTCAGGATCACCACTTGTAATCCTGGTACCTGACCTGATTGCGGGACAGGCAATATGCAGAAGAAACTTGATAAATCTGTAACCCAACTTTTGGGTGATGGTTTTGAAAGCACTGTTTCCATGTGCTGCAGGTCATTTATTTATGTCTCAGTACTACATGTGTTTTGTATTTTTTTTTTTAAAACAACCTTGATTAGTAAACCAAGAGCAATTTTTCCCCCAAAATGGCTGGTCACATTGGATGTTTCCATTTTTAGGGTGTCAGACTTAGTCCAAAAAACAGCCCCTTCCCCTCCCCGCCTCCGAAAAGAGAACAGCAGGCACTTGCCTCCTTAAAAAAACCCAAACAAAACCATACCCTCTGAAGATGTTAGACTAGGCATGAAAAATGGAGGTACCTTAAATCATCAGCCCCTTTATAATAGGCTTTTCCCCCAACTTCTCTGAAGTCCTAGCAGTATGTGCACAAGGGCTAAGATGCATCAAAACCACTTTCTCATGTATGGTCACAAGGACAGTTTAGCCCCTTCCTACGTCATTCATGCTTATGGGGTGCAAAGAGGCCTTACCATATGAGAGTGACCTCGAGAGTGAGCAGCGCAGTACATACCCCATCTATATTCATGCCTGTATCTCCTCATTTAAATAGGTTCATTTCCCACGGAAGCTGCTATGAAGATGAAGCTGGGAAAAAATAAAGCAGCAGCTACTTCGAGACTGTGCAGCACCAGCAGCTGGATCTGAGGAGGAATACTGAAGCTACAACACCGCACCTCCTTCAGCAGTTTGCATGCGTATTTACAGCTTGCAGCCATCCCGCAGAGAAGCTTGGAGGTCTTTCCAAGTGTCTGCTCACTGATCTTTTCAATTCTGGTGTGCACATAACTTGAATAGTGAAGTATGCTGGCAGCACCTGGTTACACTCACCTTTTTGAGGTACTCATGTCCACAGGCTCATCTCCCGTCTGCACCTCAACTTTAATGGTTGCTTTTACCTCCCCTCCTTTCAATAATCCTTGCACTTTTCCAGATCCAGGATCTGTCTTTATTTTCATGTCACCTTCAGTCTTTATATCTGTTCCCAACAGTCCTTTCTCCATTTTTATTTTTTTACTATCCACGTCATTTTGTGTTACTTCTCGTTCTAGCGCTCGCTTCTGACTTCGTGTCCTGCATGCTTCCTCTGTCATTGTGAGACACTGGAAAAAAAGGAGAGAAAAGTCAGTTAAATGCATTTTAAGGGATGGGGGAGCAATTAAAAAAAATCCAATCATCTTAATTTCAAAATAGGACAAAGTAGAGTGTCGCTGCAAATGAAGAGATCCTGAGAAGGTGCAATAAAAAGTGCTGACAGTTTGCTTGCTCGCCCTATTGTAAGAGAACTTCAGACCCAGGTCTTATGGAGCTACGCAGCATTACTGTAGTTGCACTTCTTAGTTTAAAGCAACTACAGCTGGAAGAAGCATGCCATAAAAATATCCTGCAGGATACCCAGGACTGTACAGACTCACAGCTGCAACAAAAGTTTGGATGTTTCTCAAGAAAGTGGAACGCATTTGCCTCCCGTGCAAATAAAAAATAATTATATATTAAAAAAATCATCATCATCTGGACTAGAACCTTTCTGGGATTTCCTGCCACGGATTTCTCAGCACCTGTATCTGCTTGCAAGTCTCAGAAACCTGATGTTACGGGGGGGAAAAAGGACTACCACACCCTGAGTGAAGAGTGTCTTCCATATTTCCTGATAGTCTGCCACTAGAGATTAAGACACTGCCATTGTAATATTCAAGTTGATAGTTTCTTCCCTCCTAATGAATGAGCCAGGCTTTTCCACTCGCTGCACAGGAAGTGCTTAACTCCTGCGGGATCACACTTAACTCGTTGTGTGCCAAAGTCACAGAAACTTTTGCTTTTCGGGTGAGCTTTGGCATTTCAGCCTGTACCTGCAGACACATATCTGATCCAAACAGCTGAGTCAGGGTTTGATCCCATGACATCACTGGGCTCCACATGACCCTTCCCAGGATTCAGTCGGAGAGACAAAGCACTTTCTCGAAAACCAGTCTGAACCGGTTCCAGACAACAAGCTGAAGTGTTGTTAACCCTCGCCGAGACACGACAGCAGCCGCAGGAGCAGGAGCAGTGTCTGTCGGCGAGGCGGCTGCTGGCATTCCAGAGCACGAGTCCGGGAGAGCATCCCTGCTCTTAAAGGGACCGCACTGCACTTGCACATGCCACACATGCCCAGGACACCGCTCATGTGCTCCCCCGACACCCCTGTCACTTTGGGAAAAGTTGTCTTAAGAAAAGGGGGGAGGGGGGAAAAAAGATTTTTTTTTTTTTTACATTGAATTCAGAGGCAGGCCAAAAATGAGGACACACAGGAGTTGAACTTAAGTTTCAAACAGCTTTTTTAATAGGTTTGTGGACGTGTGCATGGGGGGGGAAGGGGGGGAAAGGGCATTGGACCCATAATGCATCGCCGGCTCAGCTTTGCAGACTTAATGGGAGCAGGAGCTGTAATCGCAGGAGAACCTGCAAGAAGTTTTTCTGTGCAAAAGTTGGCACAGAAGTTCTTTGGCGTGCAATTGTTTAGAAAAAAAATTAAGATAGTCAGGGGAAACGTGGTTCTTTGGCGTGCAGTTGTTTAGAAAAAAGGTAAAATAATTGGAAAAATGTGGTTCTTTGGCATGCAATTGTTTAGAAAAAATATAAGATAGCTGGAAAAAAGTGGTGTCTGCAATTGTGGAGTGGCAGGTGGGGATGGGAGCAGAGACAATGGGGAGGATACATAGCAAGCAGGGGCAGGAGCACAGATGCCAGAGGGTGCAAGCACTGGAGGCAGACAGTGGGGGAGGTGAGTAGCAAGAGAGACAGGCAGCAGAAGGCAAGGAGCAAGAGGCAAGGGATCAGGCCTCTAGATTCCCCCACTGCCTCCCCCCCCC